GACTCTGCCTCACCCGAGCCTGCCCTATTGACTGAGAGATCCTTGGCCCAGGAACAGTTCCTGTGCCCATGTTGGGCATCATTTGTAAGAGGAAGGAGCAGGCTGCGTTCTGCCTGGATCCCAGCTAGCTTTACCCCCGAAATAATTACACAGAAACTTTATTCATTTAAACACTGCCTGGCCCATTAGTTTCAGCCTCTAATTGACTAATTCTCACATCCTGCTTTAACCCATATTTAGTAATCTGTGTAACACCATGAGGTGGTGGCTTACAAGGAAAGATCCTAACCTGCATCTGACTCGGAGAGGAGAGTCATGGCGACTGCCTCACTGCCTTCTTCCTCCCAGCATTCTGTTCTGTTTACTCCGACTACCCAATTTTCTGTCCTATCAAAGGGCCAAAGCAGTTTCTTTATTAACCAATGAGAGTACACATAGACAGATGATCCTCCTAGATCAATGGAAGAATGCAGTCTGCTGCCTTGTCTGCTCACAGGCCTGTGCTTAGTTAGCTTTCTTACACAGTGCAGTACCCCATGCCCAGGGAATGGTGTCTCCCACAGTGGACGGGCGCTTCTATATCAGCTAACAACAAGACAATTCCCCAGAGACATATCCGCAGGCCCCTCTGATCAGGGTGATTCTTCAACTGAGGCACTTTCTCTGGAGACTCCAGGCTGTGTCAAGTTGACATTTGAAGCTATCTGTCAAATTTCTTGCTCTTACCTTGTCTCCTCCCCTTCTAGGCTCACACATGGACGGTGCAGCTCTATGCTGGTGGCTGCATCAGTTCCTTTTCAGTTGCTGTGATAAACACCATTGTTGGGGACTGCCTGGTCCTAGGCTTTCCCTTGGGCCCTGAAGTATGGAAAAGGAATTGGTTTCTAGTCTAACACCAGGAACATGGAGAGCAATGCCAGTAATAGCCTGGGACCAGGGACTTGGAGAAGCTGTGGTTTCAGACCCTGAGAACCCAACTCTTCCCCTCAAGGAGCTGTGGTTATCAGTCTCAAGGTCCATGTGCTCTGTCTGTGATGCACCTCCGATTTCTGTGTTCCTTTTTCTGCAACAACACCTGATTAGCCTCCTGCTGACTCCATCCCAGGGCATGGGAGCTCTGTGCTGACCGCTCCCATTTCCCCTCTGCAAACCATGTACAAAATGTTGTACTTCTTAATAATTCACAGGGCATAAGTTATCAGCTTAAGCAAGATCTCCTGGTCCCAGCTTTCCTATCTTCTTTGTTTTTATCAATCCTTGTCCACCTACCCTGGATTCTACATTGCAATCTGCTGGTCCAGGTCACACCATGACCAGGGCAACTTACAAAAGAAGGGTTTATTTGGACTTAGGGTTCTAGAGGGTTGAGTCCACTGACAAAGAAGCATGGCAGCCTGCAGCAGGCAACAACAGGATGCTCCAAGCTCACATTTTGGTTCATAAGCAGGGACCAGAAAGAGTGAACTCATAGTCAAGTAAGGCTTTAGACCCTCAAAACCCACTCCCTGTGACAAACTTCCTCCAACAAGGCCACACCTCCTAAAATCAGCACTCCCAGCTGGGTACCTAGTGTTCAAATGCCTGAGGCTATGGGGTACATATTATTCAAACCACACCAGTGGCTTTGAGACCTGCTTGTGAATAGTTAAGGTACATGGTAAGACAGTGATACTGAAATTAAGGCCTGAGTTCAAATCCCCAGTGTGGCCCTTCATCTCCATGTGACCACAGTGAGTCACTGTCCCTCTCTGATGCTGTGTCCTCTTCTGGACAGGAGGATGGTAAAGGCTGAAGCCCCTGTATTCCACCTCCTATGGCAAAGGCATGTGCGTGTTGATTCATGAGCTCAACAGTTAGAGAAGCAGGGCAACGGAAAAATGAAGCCAGACAGGTCTGACCTCACTTTGACAGTGACTGAGGGAAGCAAAGGCGTTGTGTAGTTGTACACACATTAGACACACGCAGGGGCAAACACTATGGTGCAGGAGGTGAGAGAGGCTTGCATCTTTCAGGAAGCAGGACTTGTGTATCCTGCAAGCTCAGGATGCTGTAGTTGTGGTTTTTTACTCTTCACTCTTTTTACTCTCTCCGGGGGTTGGGGGGGGGGCACCACCTGTCTCCCAGATGACCGCATGGAGTCTTATTCTTTCTTCTTCTTTCCCAGCCTTAGTTTGGCTTCATTTTGGCCAGTTTTTTGGGGGTTTTGTTGTTGTTGTTGTTGTTTGTTTTTTTTTGGATTCTGCAGAACTACAGTTTTTTTTAAATTTACTTATTTATAAGAATTTCCACTTCCTCCCCTCCTCCCAATACCCTCCCATTCCCCCCACTCCCTCTCGTCCCCCCTCTCCAGTCCTAAGAGCAGTCAGGGTTTCCTGTCCTGTGGGAAGTTCAAGTTCCTCCCCCCTCCCTCCAGGTCTAGGAAGGTGAGCATCCAAACAGACTATGATCCCAAAAAGCCAGTATATGCAGACGAAAGAAGACCCAGTGCTATTGTCAATGGCTTCTCAGTCAGCCCCCATGTCAGTCACATTCAGAGAATCCGGTTTGATCACATGCTCGTTCGGTCCCAGTCCAGCTGGCCTTGGTGAGCTCTCATTAGATCAGTCCCCTTGTATCAGTGGGTGAACGCACCCCTCGCGATCCTGACTTCCTTTTTCATGTTCTCCCTCCTTCTACTCCTCATTTGGACCTTGGGGGCTCAGGCCAGTGCTCCATTGTGGGTCTCCGTCTCTATCTCCATCCATCGTCAGATGAAAGTTCCCTCTGATCCTGCCTTCCTTGCTCACGTTCTCCCTCCTTCTGCTTCTCATTTGGACCTAGGGAGTTAAGTCCAGTGTTCCAATGTGTGTCTCTGTCTCTATCTCCATTCATCGCCAGATGACGGTTCTATGGTGATATGAAAAATATTCATCAGTATGGTTATGGGCCAAGGCCAGTTCAGGAACCCTCTCTCTGCTGCCCAGGGAAAAATCTGGGGACCTCTCCTTGGGCCTGGGAACCCCTCCAGAATCAAGTCTCCTGCAAACCCTAAAATGGCTCCCTTAGTTGAGATATATACTTCCCTGCTCCCATATCCATCCATCTTCCCTCCCCCCATCCCATTCCCCCAAGCCATCCCCAATCCTCCCCCCTCCCTTCTCTTTAACCATCTCCCCTTACTTCCACCCTCCCTACCCCCCATGCACCCAAGTTTGCCTGGTAATCTTGTCTACTTCCAATATCCAGGAGGATAACTATATGATTTTCTTCATGTTCACCTTCTTATTTAGCTTCTCTAGGATCACGAATTATAGGCTCAAAGACCTTTAATTATGGCTAGAATCCACTTATGAGTGAGTACATACCATATTCCTCTTCTTGGGTCTGGGTTACTTCACTAAGTAAAGCGTTTTCTATTTCCATCCATTTGCATGCAAAATTCAAGATGTCATTGTTTTTATTTACCGCTGAGTAAAACTCTAATGCGTATATGTTCCACACCTTCTTTAACCATTCTTCTATTGAGGGGCACCTAGGTTGTTTACAGGTTCTGGCTATTACAAATAGTGCAGCTATGAACATAGTTGAACAAATACTTTTGTACTATGATAGGGTATCTCTTGGGACAAGGCTGTTCACTCTCTCCATACCTCTTCAATACAGTGCTTGAAGTTCTAGCAATAGCAATAAGACAACATAAGGGGATCAAGGGGATTTGAATTGGAAAGGATGAAGTTAAACTTTCTTTATTTGCAGATGATATGATAGTGTACATAAGCGACCCCAAAAACTCTACCAAAGAACTCCTACAGCTGATAAACACCTTTAGTAATGTGGCAGGATACAAGATCAACTCCAAAAAATCAGTTGCCCTCCTATACATAAAGGATAAAGAAGCAGAGAGGGAAATCAGAGAAACATCACCTTTCAGGATAGCCACAAATAGCATAAAATATCCTGGGGTAATTCTAACCAAGGAAGTGAAAGATCTATTTGACAAGAACTTTAAGTCTTTGAAGAAGGAAATTGAGGAGAATACCAGAAAATGGAAAGATCTCCCTTGCTCTTGGATCGGGAGGATCAACATAGTAAAAATGGCAATTCTACCAAAAGCAATCTATAGATTCAATGCAATCCCCCTCAAAATCCCATCAAACTTCTTCACAGACCTTGGCCAGCTTTTCTTAACTTAAATTATCCCATCTACCATTCGCCTCAGGGATTTTACCTTCCTCTATTTCTGTATATCTTTTCTTTACTTCTTACTCCAAGGCTGGCTGTGTAGCTGGGTGGCTGGCCCCTGATGTCCTCCTTTTCTTTTCTCGTGCTTTGATCTTCTCTTTCTCTCAGAAGGATGCCCCAGAAAGAGCTTCACAGACAGAAGGGGCCAGGGACAGGACACAGCTAGCGGGTGAGTGGAATTATCACTGAAAGAGAGGTTAAACAGGAGAGTGAGGGAGTGACTCCCCACTCATGGGATGAGGCCGGGGTTTCTGTAAGCCAGCAACACATGACAGCTGGTCCTCTAATGCCTGCTCACTTGGAAACTCACGGTAGGAGCACTGGGAACTGAGGAGTGGCTGGAGACACCCGTCTCCTCAGCTCCCATGGCCTGCATGGCTTCTGAGGCTGGGGCTCCCCTTTCCCTTCTCTCTTTCTAAGCTCTCTCTCTTCACACCCAGTTTTGCAGACCCCAGTACTAAACAGGACCCCCCCCTGCTTCTCCATTGCTGAAAATGCATATCCACCCAATTCTCCTCATCCCCTCTAGTCCACATGGAACTTCCTGGTTACCAGGTGGGCTAATCAGCAAAGTTCTGACCCCTGAGAGCAAGGTGGCCTAAGAGTTCTAGTCAGGTCTCCAAAGGGCCTCTGGTTCTGTCACCTGCCTTCAATGGGAGCCAGATGTGGATAGAAAACAGAAACTTGAGACTAATGAGGAAGAGGGGTAATTGTGGGTGGTGCTGAGGAGAAATGAGACATTCTTACTTTACTTTGGTTCCCTCCAGGGCATTCTCAGCATTTCTACCCTGGCTTTTAAGGCAGGAGACTACACTATCTCTGTGCCCCTTTATGTAGTTCAGTACAGAAGCCTCGACACAAAGCCTGTGCTTCGAGGAGCCACAGGACCGCACAGGCCTTGCTCAGCTTCCCTCTTGTCCTGCGAGGTCCTAAGCAGTTCACCCTGCACTGGCTGTGGGGGCTGCCTGGACCCTGCCCTTCCCTGGTATCCTCACTTCAGAGCATCCCTACCTCCTTCCCTGCTTGCTTCTCTCCAGCTGGAGAAGAGGACCTATGGCCTGGGAGGCCACATACCTGCTATCCCCCATCCTGCTGGTGCTCCTGGTCTCAGGTGAGGACAGGGGACAAGGATAGAGGGAAGGAACCAGGGAGAGGAGAGGGAAGGGGCTGGGAAGTGTGCAAAATGGGGCTCTATGGTTGGGAAAGCAGAACACAGAATATTGTGTCCAGTAACTGGCCTAAGCCACACCCTGAGCATAGACATTTAAAGGTCAGTCCCTTAGGAGGGAGCCCATCTCCTAGCCCTGTTGTGGAGACTGGGGGACTCTCTGATCGGAAGGGTGTGTGTTTTCCCAGTCTTTGGCGCAGAGGACGCAGAGTTATATCAAAAAGTGGAGGGCCAGACATTTTCTGTGAAATGCCGGTATGATCACAGCCAACAAGTCAACGAGAAGGTATGGTGTCAGCAAACATCAACAGAAGATTGTAAAGTGTTAGAGTCCAGTCTCATCACAGAAGCTCAGTGGCCAAATTTCTCCATCCGGGACTATCCTGGCTCTCACTTCTTCACTGTCAACATAATTGCACTCACAGTGAGAGACTCGGGTCTCTATTTCTGTGGGATTTTTGAAAATCACAGAAGAATGGCTATTATCAGAAGGTTCCGCCTGGTGGTGTCAAGAGGTGAGCTTCCCCCTTCTATGTGTCTCTCAGCTTTCCTGATCAACAGGATCCAGAGTTGGAGAGGACTCTAGAAACTGTGCTTCTAATAGCTGGGAACTGGGGTACAAGGAAGAACTCCACAGGGTCATCTGTTGGTTCAGGGCAGAGCCAAACCTAGAACCCAGGTTTGCTGATCTCTGGGCAGTATTTACCAGTTATTCTAAACACTGCTGCTGCTGCTGCTGCTAACATAACTCTGTTCATTGAAGGATCTTGTTCTTCCCTCCAGCTGTCACAGCTGCCCACTCCCAAACATCCCTTCCTGCAATCCCATCAGAAACCTTCTCTCTGGGGGTGGCAGGCTCCATCACATGAGAGAGACCTCAGAGCAAATGGAGAAGGCACTGAGAGATGTGGATCAAGAGGAGACAGCTAAACAGAGAGGCATATGAGGTTTAGTGGGGAAGGCTGGGAGATGCGGCCCTCGTCCAGGATCTGCTCTTGATGACTGAGAACCTCTGAGCTCTGGGAAGTTGGCCCACAGGCTGCCGCTAGTGGCCTGAGTCTCCTGTGTATCTCGTGCAATGCATTATTGAGCAATACATTTTTCTCTGCTCCCCTTCCTTCCTCTCCCCTCCCTTTCTATCCTCTCCCATGGTCCCCATGCTCCCAATTTACTCAGGAGATCTTGTCTTTTTCTACTTCCCATGTAGATTAGTAGATCTATCTATGTTTCTCTTAGGGTCATCATTGTTGTCTAGGTTCTCTGGGATTGTGATTTGTAGGTTGGTTTTCTTTGTATGTCTAAAAGCCACTTATGAGTACGGAATATGATATTTATCCTTCTGGGTCTGGGTTACCTCACTCAAAATGATATTTTCTAGATCCATCCAGTTGCCTTCAAATTTCAAGATGTTATTACTTTTTTTGCTGTGTAGTACTTCATTGTGTAAATGTACCACATTTTCCATATCCATTCTTTGGTTGAGGGGCATTTAGGTTGTTTCCAGGTTCTGGCTATGACAAACAATGCTGCTTTGAACATAGTTGAGTATCTGTCCTTGCGACATGATTGAGCATCCTCTGGATATAAACCCAAAAGTGGTATTACTGGGTCTTGAGGAAGGCTGTTTCCTAATTTTCTGGGAAATTGCCACACTAACATCCAAAAGGGTTGTACCAGCTTGCATTCCCACCAGCAATACAGAAGTGTTCCCTCTTCCCAACAACCTCTCCAGCATAAGTGTTTTTGATCTTGGCCATTCTTACAGGTATAAGATGGAATCTTGGAGTCATTTTGATTTGCATTTCTCTGATGACTAAGGATGTTGAGCATTTTCTTCAGTGTCTTTCAGCCATTTTAGATTCCTCTGTTGAGAGTTCTCTGTTTAGGTCTGTACCCCATTTTTTATTGAACTGTTTGTTCTTTTGATGACAAATTTCTTGAGTTCTTTGTATATTTTGGAGATCAGCCTTCTGTCTTATGTAGGGTTGGTGAAAATATTTTCCCAGTTTGTAGGTTGCCGTTTTGTCTTGTGGACTGTGTCCTTTGATTTACAGGAGCTTTTCAGTTTCAGGAGGTAACATTTATTATTGTTTATCTCGGTGTCTTGCTGCTGGGGTTATATTTAGGAAGTGATCTCCTGGGCTGTACCATCTGTACCACTACGTGTACTACGGTACTACACCTGTACTGAGCCAATTGCACTACAGGACCATTCGTGAGCCTGACAAGGGCCTGGTGATTTAAACACCATAGACAGACAGAGAAATAAGTCATCCTTGAAACAAGAGTGCCCCTTTATTATGCACCAGAGCTGTTTATATACAAATCCTTAACTGATAGCCACGCCCCAGCCAAACACACAAGAAACCACTCCTCTGCCATCAGGAACTCCTGAGGGTCTCCTGCTCAGAGTAGCTACAAACACAGGAAAAACAAGTTGTTTTGCTCAGAACAGCTGCAAGCATAACAAGTTGTTTACAGGAAATTCAGGGTCTGGGTTCACAACCCCCACCACTGAGCCAGTTCTTTCAAATGTACAGCCCACTTTTTCTTCTGTGAGGTTCAGTGTGGTTGGTTTTATGTTGAGGGCTTTGATCCATTTGGAATTGAGTTTTGAGCATGCTCAGAGATATGAATCTATTTTCATTCTTCTGTGTGTTGAAATCTCGTCATTCCAGCATCATTTGTTGAATATTCTTTATTTTTTTCAATTTAAATTTTTTGCCTCTTTGTCAAAAATCAGGTGTTTGGAGGTATCAGAATTGATATCCAGGTCTTTGATTCAGTTCCATTGGTCCTCCTGTCTGTTCTTATGTCAATATCAGGCTGTTTTCAGTACTGTAGCTCTGCAGTAGAGTTTGAAGTCAGAGATTGTGATGCCTCCAGAAGTTCCTTTATTGTACAGGATTGTTTTGACTGTCCTGGGATTTTTGCCCTTCCATATGAAGTTGAGTACCATTCTTTCGAAGTCTGTGTAGAATTTTGCTGGGATTTTGCTGGGCATTGCATTGAATCTGTAGATTGCTTTTGACAAGATTGCCATTTTTACTATGTTAATTCTACCTACCCAAGAACATGGGAGATCTTTCCATTTTCTTGTGTCTTCTTTGATTTTTTTTTCTCCAAAGACTTGAACTGTTTTCATCAAATTTTTCACTTGTTTGGTTAGAGTTACTTCAAGATATTTTATGTTATTTGTTTCTATTGTAAAGAATGATGTTTCTCTAATTACTATCAGCCTATTTATCATCTGTGTAAAGGAGTTACTGATTTTTTTAATTAATCTTTTATCCTGCTACATTACTGAAAGAGTTTATGAGTTGTAAAAGTTCCTTGGTAGATTTTTTTTGGGTTGTCACTTATGTAAACTATCATTCCATCAACAAATAATGAGAGTTTGACTTCTTTTTTCTGATTTGTATCCCTTTGATCTCTTCTTTGTCTTATTGCTCTAAGTAGGACCTTGAGTACTATATTCAATAGATAAGGAGAAAGTGGACAACCTTCTCTTGTTCCCAATTTCAGTGGGATCGCTTTGAGTTTCTCTCCATTTATTTTGATGTTGTCTGTTGGCTTGCTATATATTATCTATATTATGTTTAGTATGTACCTTGTATTCCTGCTCTCTCCTGTTGGTGGAGGGCTGCTTGTTGGTTTCCAGATGCTTAGCCCTGAAAATAACCACACAGAAACTGTATTATTTAAAACACTGCTTGGTCAATCAGCTCTAGCTTCTTATTGGCTAACTGTTACATATTAATTTAATCCATTTCTATTAATCTGTGTATTGCCACATGACAGTGGCTTACTGACAAAATTTTGGCATCTGTCTCCGGCAGGGTTACATGGCTTTTCTCTAACTCTGCCTTTCTTTCTCCCAGCATTCAGTTTAGTTTTCCCCGCCTACCTAAGTTCTGCCCTGCTATAGGTTCAAAGCAGTTTCTTTATTCATTAATGGTAACCACAACATACAGAGGGAAATCCCACATCACCCCCCTTTTTCTGTTTAAATAAAAAAGGAAGGCTTCAGCTTAAGCATAGTAAAATTACTATATATCAAAACAGCTATCAAGCAAGAATTACAGCTACAATATTTATGTCTATTTTATCTTTTATCATAACTAAGGAAAACTATAACTATAAATTCAACTCCATCAAGACTCCAGAATGATATATTACCTAATATACCTAATATTACCTAAGCAAACAATAAGTTTATTGTAAGCAACTTTCAAAATTCTAGAATCGACAGAGACATCTTGCTACCTGGACAGTTACCCAAAGTTCTTCTGAACCATTGGGACATCCATCTTCAGTCTACAGGCCCATAGTATCCGGCCGACTTTTTCATGAAGCAGAAAATTTAAAGACAGGTCTACCTATATTGGCAGTTTGTTAATCACTTTCTTCTGTATCCTGCAGAGTGTCTGGCAGACTTTTTCATGAAGCAGGAACCCTGAAGGATTGTCTCACTTTAGGCAAGTTCAGCAGTCATTTCTCTGTGGGTCCTGTATGTCCAGTTCACCAAGCAGTTCAGGCAAGAGTAGTTTCTTGCTCAAATGGCTAGCCAACTATATAAGAAGCCCCTGATGCTCCACTGGCACAATCGGTAAGCACATGGTACTTATACAGCAGAAGCCTCTGGTGCTGATCTTCCTCTTAAAGTGATTGGTGCTGCTAGCAGCAGATGTGTCTCATTGTCATGAGAAGTCTTAAGTTCTTTAACATGTCAAATGCCATATTCTGTGGTTTTTGAAAGGTTTGAAGACGGCCTATCCATGTGAATTACATCTCTGAACATCTAGAAACCTAACTCACATGACTACAGAATTGACTATTACAGATGACTATCTATTACGTTACATTTTTAAATGAGCTGCACAAACACAATACCTTAATCAAGACCAGAAATATATATATACACACTATAACAAAACTGACCTTAAATTTGTATCAATAAGCCAAGATCCATACCCATGCAAATCTCTATAGCCCTCTCCAAGATCTTTAGCATGAAGGGATGTTGTATTTTGTCTAAAGCTTTTCCAGCATCTAATGGAATGACCGTGTGGTTTTTATTTTTCAGTTTGTTTATATGGTGAATTACGTTGACAGATTATCATATGTTTAACCATTGCTACATCTCTGTGATGAAGCCGACTTGATCATGGTGGATGATGTTTCTGATGTGTTCTTGGATTCGATTTGCCAGTATTTTATTGAGTATTTTTGCATCAATGTTCATGAGGGAGACTGATCTATAATTCTCTTTCTTAGTAATGTTGTAATGTGGTTCAGATATCAGGGTAATTGTAGCCTCATAAAAAGAGTTTGGCAGTGTACCTTCTGTTTCTATTGTGTTGAACAATTTGAGAAGTATTGATATTTGTTCTTTGAAAATCTTGTAGAATTCTGAGCTGAAACCCTCTGGTCCTGGCCCTTTTTTGGCTGGGAGATTTTGATGACTGTTTCTATGTCTTAAGCAGCCATGGATCCATTTAATTTGCTTATCTGGTCTTGATTTAATTTTGGTAAGTGATATTTATCCAGAAAGTTGTCCATTTCCTTTAAGTTTTCCAATTTTGTGGGCTACAGGTTTTTTGAAACATGACCTAATGATTCTCTGTAATTCCTCTGTGTCTGTTATGCCCTCTTTTCATTTCTGATTATGTTAATTTGAATATTCTCTCTCTGCCTTTTGGTTAGTTTGGATAAAGGTATGTCTATTTTTTTGATTATCTCGAAGAACCAACTCTTTGTCTCATTGTTTCTTTGTATTGTTTTCTTTGTTTCTATTTTGTTGATTTCAGCTCTCAATTTGATTATCTCCTGTCATCTAATCCTCCTGGGTGAGTTTGCTTCTCTTTGTTCTAATGTTCTGTTAATTCACTACTGTGGGATTTTTTTCTAGCTTCTTTATGTAGGCATTTAATGCTATGAACTTACATCTTAACACTGCTTTCATTGTGTCCTATAAATTTGGGTATGTTGTGTGGCCATTCTCATTGAATTTTAGGAAATCTTTAATTTCTCCCTTTATTTCTTCCTTGACCCATTGATGCTTCAGGTGAGCATTATTTAATTTCCATGTGTTTCTGTGCTTTCTGGCATTAGTGTTGCTGTTGAATTCTAATTTTAAGCCATGGTGGTCTGATAAGATACATTGGGCTATTAGGTTTGCTTTGTTATCTTAGTTTGTGGTCAGTTTTTGAGAAAGTTTCTTGAGGTGCTGAGAAGAAAGTATATTCTTTTATGTTTGGAATGAATGTTCTATAGATTTCGGTTAAGTCCATTAGAGTCATAACATCTGTTACTCTCCTTATTTCTCTGTTAATTTTTTTGTCTGACAGACCTTTCTGGTGGTGAGAGTGGAGTGGTAAAGTCTCCCACTATTAGTATGTGGGGTTTAATGTGTGATTTAAGCTTTAGAAGTGTTTCTTTTACATATGAAGGGGCCCCTGTATTCCAGGCATAGATGTTCAGTATTAATATTTCTTTTTGATGGATTTTTCCTATGACTAATATAAAATGTCCTTCTTCATCTCCTTTGATTGATTTTAGTTTGAAGTCTATTTTGTTAGATATTAGGATAACTACACCAGCTTGTTTCTTTTTAGGTCTATTTGATTGAAATTTTTTTTCAAACCCTTTACTCTGAGATGTCTGTCTTTAAGGTTGAGGTGTTTTTCTTCTATGCAGCAGAAGGATGGATTCTGTTTTCAGATCCAATCTGTTAGCCTGTGTCTTTTTATAGGTGAATTGTGTCCATATATATTAAGAGATATTAATGACCAGTGATTGCTATCTCCTGTTAATTTAGTGTTCATTGTTAGTGATGCTATTATGTGTATTTTTCCCTTCTTTGACATTTGCTGCTTTGAGATCATCAATTGTCTGTGTTTTTGTTGATGTAGCCAACTTCCTTGGGTTGGAGTTTTCCTTCTAGTGCTTTCTGTAGGACTGGGTTTGTGACTAAGTATTGGTAAAATCTGGTTCTATCATGAAATATCTTGTTTTGTCCTTCTATGGTGATTGGAAGTTTTGCTGGGTATAGTAGTCTGGGCTGGCCATGGTGTCTTAATGTCTGCATAACACTTGACCAAGACCTTCTGGCTTTTTATTTTTTTCTTTGAGAAGTCTGGTATAATTCTGATAGGTCTGTCTTTATATGTTACTTGGCCTTTTTCCTTTGCAGTTCTTAATATTCTTTCTTTATTCTATGTTTAGTGTTTTGATTTTTATGTGGCAAGGGGAGTTTTTTGATTGAGTCTATTTAGTATTCTGTAAACTTCTTTTATATGTATATGCATATCTTTCTCTAGGTTGGAAAGGTTTTCTTCTATGATTTTGTTGAATACATTTTCTGTACTTTTGAGTTGGACTTCTTCTTCTATACCTATTATTGTTAGGTTTGCAGTTTTCATGGGTCCCGTATTTCTTGGATATTTTTTGTTAAGCTTTTATTAGATTTAATGTTTTCTTTGACTGGTGAGTCTATTTCCTCTATTGTATCTTCAGAGCTTGAGAGTCTCTCTTCCATCTCTTGTATTCTGCTGTTTATGCTTTCATTTGTAGGTCCTGACCATTTTCTCATAATTTCCATTTCTATAATCCCTTCAATTTGTGATTTATTTTGTCTCTACTTAAGCTTTCAAGTCTTGAATAGTTTCTTTCATCTGTTTGACTGTTTTTTTTTCTTTTCTAAAGAGATTTTATTTTATTTCTTCCAATTTTTTATTTGTCTTTCCCTCCATTCTTTGAGGGAATTTTTCATTTCCTCTTTAAGGGTCTCAAACATTCTCCTAAAGTTATTTTTGAGGTCACTTTCTTCTGCTTCATCTATATTTGGTGGTTTAAGTCTTGCTGTTGTAGGCTCACTAGTTTTTATTGATGTTGCATTGTTCTTTGTGATGTTGCATGTGTTGTTACCTTGTCTACCCATCTTTTCCTCTGATTGGTGTAGTTGGTGCTGTCTGTGACCCTGGTGATCAATCTTCCAGGTGCCAGTAGATTCAATGCTCACAAGGTTGCTCCTTGTGGTCCAGTCAGGGTCATGGTTCCAGTCACCCCGTTAGTCACTCCGTGTTCCTGGAAGTCATGCAGAGCTACAGGGTTTGCTCTACAATGCCAGGGGTCATTCAGGTCTGTTCCCTCAGAGATTGCTTGTTTGGGGCTCTTTCTGCTGAGCCTTTGACCTGCTCTGGCAGAGGTCTCTGGTTCCTGCCTACTCCCTCAGAGGTCCCAGACTCACATCCAGACCCACAGAGCTCCTGGCTCATGCCTACTTCCTCAGAGATCCCAGACTCACACCTTGACCTGCAAAGGTCTCTGGTTCCTGCCTACTCCCTTAGCTATTGCTCCCTTGTACCACCTCCTGTGGAGTTTGCTGTCTCAGGCCTGCTCCAGCCTAGGTCACAGGCTCAGTCCTGTTTCTGTAAATACCCCTGGTCTGGGTCCACTACTGGCCTGGCCTTGGTGCTGCAAATGCTTCTCAGGTTTTTTAGGAAAAGCACTTCTTCCAGAGCTCAGCTGACATTTCAGGCTGCAGAGCACAAGCTGTGGGAGGGGAGAAGGAGCTGGGTCAGGAGGATGCATTGGAGCCCAGGGTTTCTAGAAGCCTGGATTTCTCCCAGAATCTTCATCTGAGGTCCAGTGCAGGACAATGGTAAGTGGGGGTGCTATCCATGAATTTCCATTGGGTAACAGGGTTCAGTAAAGGGCAAGAAGTAGACTTGGAGCATAATTGCTTTCCATTTCCCAAATCTCTACTTAGAAGTCATGTTCATCAGAATCTCCTGCAACCTACTCTCCTCATCCCAAGATGCCCTTGGTGACCGCCATGGGGTTCTAAACTGTTTATCTCAGATCTTGCTGTGGGCATGAACCACCTGAACTCCTTATTTCATGCAGACCCTGGTTCAACTGACCAGAAGTGACACTTTCTTGTGGGGAACAAGTGTCTAGGCTTACTTAAGTACTGACTTATACACCCCCTATGGATTTCTGAATTTACTGAGGAACAGCTGTAACATGAAGGGACCTGCTTGTTGGGATTTCTGTCCCGCCCAGTACCCCACAGCCAGAAAGCCCCAAAGAAAATCACACAGAGATCTCCATAAGTTATAAAACTGATGGGCCCAATAGCTGAGTCTTTCTATTTGCTCTTGTAGCTTATATTAACCCATTATCCTTATCTACGTTAGCCACATGGCTCCATACCTTTCACAGCCAGGCAGATTACATCCTGCCTCTTTGGTGGTCTGCACAGGAGTGCGGAGAGAGCTTCCTTCCTTCCCAGAATACTCCTGTCCTCTTCACCACACCTCTACTTCCTGTCTGGTTGACATGTCTGTACTTCCTGACTGGCCAATCAGCTTTTATTTAAAATATGATTGAGAGAATACATACAATTCTCCTGCACCAAATAGCTGATACCTTGCTGGGCTCTACACCCCCAGTAGTAATAGTGGATGATCAAGGATGGCAGAGAAAAGAGAAACAGGCCTCCCTTCCTAGAGCATGGAGTCTATGCCAAGCCCAGACTGCGGCTCACATGCAGTACAGCAGTAAGGACAACTTAGAGAGACGTGACTTACAGAGGCAGAGAGAGCTGTCAGGGGGAGAAGGGGGAGGTGCAGAGCTGGCCAGCAGCAGAGGAGAAGGTTTCCACAGCTCAGACAGCCCGAGGAGTCTTTCCTCCACGCCTCTCCAGCCTCCTCCTTTTCTCCTTCCTCTCATCTGTCTCCGTCTCTGCTTCGGGCTGGTTTCTTTAGATTTTACTAGAAAAATCTTTGCCTCTTGAATAGCCATATTCTTTTCCCTCCCCAGCTCCACTCCTCTCTACCTATTTAACTATCCATTTATTACCCATCCATCTATCATTGATCCATCCACTTATCCATACATTCTTGGAGTCTTCCTGCAGGTCATTCAAATACTACTGCCTCTGCCATGATTCCAACTTGGACAAGAACCAAAGCTCCCCCCATTTAATACCACAAAGGAACTGAGCACCGGCTTCTCCAGGTGTGTGTGTGTGTGTGTGTGTGTAACCATAACCCAGGTCAGCTGCTGTTGTTCCCTCTTCAGATCCTGAAGTCACATTCATCAATATGGAAAATGTTACCAATATGTTTTCAGGCTACTGGGCTCCATATTCAAATGTTTTTGTCCCCAGCCCATGTGCTGAGAGGATATGGGGATGAAGATGGGGTTAGGTGGAGCAGGGGCAGACTCAAATCCCCTCAGTCTGTGAAGAATTTCCCTGGGAGGTTAGAAGTGATGACTGACTGAGAAGAGGGTGCCGTGCTCCCCATCGTATCCTTCCAAGCTCATCCCGTGCTCCCCATATCATTGTATCCTCCCCAGTTCAGCCCATCCTCCCCAACTTACCTTCTACTTTCTTTAACAAATGGGTACTAAGAGAAGGGAAATGATGTCTTTAGTGGCTAATAGTCCAGCCAACCCAGAAGTGGGATAGTGCAGTGAAATACTCTCAGTGAGCCTGGTTCTCACGGCAGGCACATTGTGTAACTTCATGCAAGTAAGGAACCTCTGTAGTATAGGGATACTGGCAGTCAGAGCTGGAAAGTGATCAAGACACAGGTTTGGTTTGGTTTGATTTGGTTAGGTTTGATAAGATCTCACTGTGTTGCTTTAGCTGACCTGGAAGTCTATGTTAATCAGGCTGACTGCAAACTCAAGAGAGATCCATCCACCTGCCTTTGCTTCCCAAGAGTGGGAATAAAGGCATGTACCCTCATGCCTGAGTAGCCTCACAACTCCTGCAATTTTGGAATGAATCCAGTTGTTGCCTTTGCTTTTGTTTTGCTTTGCTTTACTTCCTTAATTTGTTTTCTTTTTTGCTTGGGTTCAACACTGGTGGGAGAACTCAACGCTACACTGATGGGGTGTCAATTTCTGCCATAATTCTCAGCAGTTCTGGTGTTGTTTTTATCAGTGCTGAGGATGGAAAAGGGGGGCTTAACCTTGCTGTGTAGGTATTTTACCGCCGAGTTACATCTCCAGCTGCTGGTCTCAGGATCCTAGAGTAAGATTTTCAGGTTTCTAACCGGCATTTGTGTGAGTCAGCGTCCATCTCTATATTCCTTTTGTCCCTGTGTAGAGCACCTTGTCCCCACCTATCTGCCCAGGTCAGGCAGAGCTCTCTCTCTCTCTCTCTCTCTCTCTCTCTCTCTCTCTCTCTCTCTC